GCAGTAACAGTAAAATAGATTACAATTACCCTTTCAGCAAGGTTACATAACCATCTTATTATGAAAACAAAACTAACTAAACCAAAAATGATGCAAAGCAAAAAGAATCCAGAGAAGCATCTATGAGGATAAAGAAACCCAGAGAGTTGAAGGCTGATGGCTGATCAGAGAATGAAGTCAGCTGACTCCGTAATGTCAGGCAAGCTCAGGGGAACGGGTGAGTCACAGGTCAGGATGGCCAAGGAGAGCCCAGACAGACAGAAGTTTCGTTGGCTCAAGTGGAGGTTCTCTGGGGCCATGACTACATTCATCCCCTGAACTTATCTTCTCTGTGCTCCTCCAACCTGAGATAAGCCAGTCATTTCTTGAAGCTGACTGGTTGCTCTGGTTACATTTAAGGTTTCTTTTTAGTTCCAGGAATCTGGGAACATTTGCTTTGACGCCACCCTCTTACCTTTTCTAACGCCTACCCTTCTTCCTACTGCATCATCAGCTCAATGAAAATAAATCTCTTAACTGTAGCAAAATACACTTAAATTCTCCCACAGGAAGGCAAAGTCTCATGAACATCTTGCCAAAACACAATTGAAAGGAGAGGCCAAATTTGTTTGTCAAAATTATTGTCTGGTTTCTTTTACTATATGTCTGATTTCTTGCAGATTCAAGCAGGTAGGCCACTGATTTCTGGAACCACAATTTACTATGTGAACAGCCCTGAGTTTCTTTCCTTTGGCATCAGAACTGTTATTTGGCACTCATTATGAGCACTCCAATTTAGTCATTTATGGCACAATGAAACGTTATGTCCCTCCCTCAGAGTCTAAGAACTGGCTTGGCCAAGCCAGCCTGAAAGTACAGAACGGTCTGCCCGACTTGTAGGGCTTATTGATGATGTAGAGTGTTAATACACTAAGTAAAGTCTCCTCATCAGTTTGACTTTTTTAAAAAAGATTCCCTTTCCCACTTAAGAAATCTTGTCCGGTGACAAAAAAGGGCACAAACTCTGCAGCCTAATGCTGGGTGTGAATACCAGGTCCCTGTGTAAGGTTCTGTGCCTCTGTTCTCATTTACAAGGCAGGGGCTCAAACAGTACCTCCTCAGAAAGGCAGGAGCAAAGAATCCCCGGGAAACACTGAGGAGGGTGCCCGGAACAGAGGAGGCACTCCATAAGTACTAGCCTTTATTATTAACCCATTAAAAATGCAGCAAGAATTCCTCTTCTCAACCCCTTGGGTAGGAATAATAATACAAAACTATGCAATGGCCCAAGGTTGATTTATTAAAAATAAATGTGCTCATAAAATCACATTCTAGATGACCAATGCACACCACAGTGTTCAAACCTTAGACCCTGCTCTCGTTGTCCTTGGCGCGGTAAACACGACACAAGCAAGTGTCTGAAGGTAATGACCACACTTTGAGAGTCCTCAGAGTTCTATGGGCCTTTGGAAGGGTAGGTAGTCTCCTGCCTCAGTGGGTCACTCTCTCACTCCCCAATCCTCTACTGACTACTGCCTACAGAACCAAAGACCTCATCCAACATACAACTCTACTGAGAGATTTCAAGCCAAAAAAAACCAAAAAAGCTTTCCATGCCACTGCCCAGACAGATTTCAAGCAAAAAAAATAGCAGTGGCTCATGCCTGCAATCCCAGCACTCTAGGAGTCCAAGACAGGGGGATCGCTTGAGGTCAGGAGTTCACGACTGGCCTAGCCAGCATGGCAAAACCCAATCTCTACTAAAAAAAAGAAAATACAAAAATACAAAAATTAGCTAAGCATGGTGGTACGTGCCTGTAGTCCTGACTATTCGGGAGGCTGAGGCATGAGAATCACTTGAACATGAAAGGTAGAGGCTGCAGTGACCCATGATTGTGCCACCACACTCCGGCCTGAGCAACAGAGAGAGACTCTGACTCCAAGTAATAAATAAAATCAAAAACAAATGTTTGCTGTAACAAAACTTTTGTGTTATCTGTCACTATCATAACTTTGGAAGACTAATGCAATCTATTTTACTTACAGCAAGCGCAGACACAACTTACCAATAAAGCTTATTTTGTTCCCCAAAGTGTTAGAATAATATCTAAGTGTGAGAGTTTTTTTTTCACACTTTGATGCTATTCTCACATTTGTAATGTCAGAAACTTGTTTTTCCACGTTAAAAAAAAAAAAAAAAACCCACAACTATCACCAAATCCAAAAACCATGTGGCTACAAAATTCCAATACATCCCTATCCCCCAGCAGAGCTGCTTTTGCGGACACCAGGGAAGCAGAGAGCAGGACTCCTAGAGCCAGGGGTGGTGAACTAAGAAGAGAAAGGTGGAAGTGATACGCTAGCCCATTGGAGAGCCTAACAGACACCAAGCGTCACCGACAGCCAGACCACACGCGGTCTCACATTAAACAAGAGAGAGCCAAGTAAGTGCCTCACATCTCGACCCAACTAGCCATCTCTCTAACACCTTTGAAACACTAGTAAAACTGACCCAGCATTGTATATGGACTGAGTTGAAGAAGATGAAAATTGAAAGCTGTGAGGGGAAATAAAAGCTTCCTGCTCATCAAACGTTCAAGATAAAAGGCTACCAAGAGATCCAGGTGGCATTTGTTTGAACTTCTCTGTTTATCACTGTCTTCCTTTTTAGGGATCGGCCATGATTTAAATTTAGTGTGCTACTTCCAAATTTATTTTCCACTATTCTTGAAAGGGGGTTCTTTCAAGAAAGGGGGTTCCTCTAGCCATAGAAGCATAGAAACTGGCCTTCCCTGCCCCACCCAAATATTACCGCCCACCCCCCCATCTGAAAGATTCGTCCACAAGACCTTGTCCATGAGAACTTCTTCTTATGCTACCTATGCTATCCTCCTGTATACCATTTCCCAATTTCTTTCTTAAACAGTTATGTGATGCTGACAGGCGCTGTTATCCAGCTGTTACACACGATGCTAGAGGTGGGTCCATTTTACTGGTGGTGAAGTTCAGATTTGAACAAATTTGTAACCAGTATCAAATGTTTGGGGTCTCATCTACAGTTATTATCAACAATTCAAGCAAAATCATTTAAGTCCTCTTTTTCTTTTAAAGTGGGGTTACTATTTTTTTGTTTTCATTACAGAAAGAAATGCAGTAAACTACAATGAGACACAACACGTGGGCACATTGTCACCATAAAGCAGAACTGGGGAAGAAAAGGGATTTCATTTCTTGTAAAGAAACAATATGTAGACACACAGTCAAAACCGCAGTCTTTCGGAATAAAGGGTTTCACCCAGTGTAATTCAGAGTTACTGGGACTCAAGAACCGACTCAAGGCTGGCAGTGAGGATGCTGATCATAATGATGGCAACTGTAACACATTCTACCGCAAAGCATTCGCAACGTTCACACTGCCTTCCTCTATAGGACACCATCTCTTCCTAAAGTCTACGCTCTTACAATAAGGCTCATGAATATCCCCTTTATTCTGAGTCCGAAGTCAAGTTGGCCTCAGCTTTGCATAACATATTTCCTGGAATTTGCTGTTTTGGCATCCACCCATTCCAAAAAGAGAAGGTCCAGCATCCAATGACTGGAGACCAAGGCTGATGAGAGCAAAAAGGAAAAAAAAAAAAAAAAAAAGCAAGTGTGTTCAGGGTGGCAGAGTTCTCTCTCCAGACCAAAATAAACGTGACCAACATTTCCCAGTGTAAATGAAAAATAAGATCCTCACCAAATCTAGCTCTGTTTATTCTAAAGTTATCTTTTGAAGACTACAAACCCCAACATGTTTTATGTCTCTCCAGGCTCTTCATCATTCATTCACTCTGTAGCTCAAACAATACAGGCAATATCAGCAACAGCAGTTACAGGTCTAACTTTCCTTTTCCCTCTGGAGCCCAAAGCAGCCCAAACCTGGAGACTGTGGGTCAATTGCCTTTTGTAGTTTTTGAACATTAACTTTCTTAAAGGAATAGACCTTAAGCTCTTCCTACGAAATTAGTATAATGCACACATTTATCCCCATGTGTAAAACACCTTCTTTCCCGACAGCATGTGTCCGTGGCCTCACTGGGCATTCAGTTAAAAGTGGCATCAGCCTGCAGCAGCAAATCACAGCACTGTGCCATTGTGCCAGGCCTTTCCTAACACACATGTTCTCCAGAGCCACAAACACACCTCCTCTTGGGCTCAGAACAGAGCTAAACTGCATTTAGCATTTTGAAATTTAAAACATCTGCTTAGATGAGTTCCACTCTTGCTGAACAATCAATTTGCATTACATTAAATTAACACAGTAATGGACAGCTATGAAATTACACATTTTATGCATTACATTTAATGATGAAATAATAGGTAATAACAGGTTACCAATTCTGATATAGCTATCACACAATTGGTAAATTCACTCAACAATAACGAATAACTTCAAACATCCCATTTCCCGGGTAACAGTCTTGATAGAGGAACATATAAATTAGAAAGTTATTGTCCATCAGGAAAACATAATTACCCTGGAAAGAGACATACAGGGGGCCATTAATCTAAAGCATATGGTTTCCAGAGACTTTCCACGCTTTCTTTATATTGAGTCATTTGGGAAGAATAAAAACAGTATCACCTCTATTTTGACATGCTGTTTCCATATCATTCATTTTTATGGCAAAAAAACACTAACTCACATGCTTGGAATAGGATCAGAACAAAGGTGGTAGTTCTTGGTAATCCAAGAAAGTGAGAAACATATGTATTTGGTTCTTAAGATTCATTTGGGTTTTTAAATTAAACAACATGATTTATTTTTACTTGTTTTTTTTTCTCTCTAATTATCTATGAGCATGAGACACTTTTCAAAAAAGAAGTACTTTAAAAAAGTGACTCACGTAGATGTGGGATGGGAGCTAGATGGTTTCGTGTATGCTGAATGATGTATGAACAAAAATATTCAGAGAGCAGACTTCATACAATATAAAAACCTAAGTGCTTCAGGTTGGCCGTCATTACACCCCGGGGGTTACAAAGACCACTCTGAAAATGCGCAAGTTGCAGTGCTGGCCTGTTTTAAGCACCGATCTTTGGCTGCCCTTTGACAAAATTGTGTGAGCCTTTATATAGCAAGAAATCCAAGTCCCTCCAGGCCCCTAGATCAAACTGCTACCCCCAGCGAAAAGCTTGTGAGCCACATGTAGAGAAGCTCCTAGAGATACAGGGAGGGCCTTTTCCTGCACAGTGTAGGCTGCATTCCGTGGAACATCGGTGCCCCTGGGAACACCAAGAGGTGCTCTGAGGGGGAAAAAAGCCATTCTACGCAAAAACAAATGTTCTGCAAATGCTGGCCTAAACAGAGATAAATGCTCAAACAGGGACACTGCATGGAATAAAATTTAAAAAATTAAACCTCTTCCTTTTAAACTGAAAAATTCTCCATCTTTAATACGCTAATATCCACTGAGAAGCAACATGGGGGTGACAGAGCAGGCAGTGCTCCCCAAACTAAACTGACCACAGAACTACTTTCCACAGAACAACTACAGCTACTTTATCCATCTTCAGAGTTCCCAGGAGCACCGTCTGGTAAACACTGGTCTAAATAGATTAGAAGAATCAGGACATTTGGCCCAGAAAGACCCCAAGTCTTGCTTACTTGCTTAGAAAACAAAAATAAACCAACAAAGTAATGAAGGAATAAAATTTACAAGCAGACTGAGACATAACAAAAGAGGATGAGTCTTAATACATCAACTTTTGGATTTGCAGGTGACAAAATGTGACCAAGTTAAACCGGAGGCCACCTAAACTGGCAGCCCAACAGTACTTCTATGGGTTTAAGGGACTTTGTTCTCACTTTGGGGAGCAGAGCACTTCAGAGAAGCTGATGAGCTCAATTCTGCAGGAAGAGCTTCCGGAGAACTGTTGGCTTACCAACCTCTTAATGAAATAGAGTCAACCACTCCTGCCTCCGTGGCTGGCACCAGGGCCAGAGAGACAGTGAGTTTAAGATCTGGTAAGAGAAAAGAACCCAAAATTAAATCGCAAGAAGAAAAATAAAAAGACGCCCACCCCTAAAAGCCTGTAGCTTTGATTTCTCAAAATTCTAGCCCCTTGTCCTAGGTTTCCTTTAAAAATACGGTTAAATAAATGGGATTGAAAGGAATGGTTACCTGATTGGAAGTTCCTCTCACACCAGAAAAGTTCTGTGATGCTGGAGGACACCATTTGGCACTTCTCAGACTTCATTTGCACATTCTCAGTTGTACTGCTATAAATGTAACCACTGGTGTGCATATACATTCACAGTACACTGAATGTACAATGTTGAACTTATTTTTTGAGAGAGAAAATTTTCTCTTCAACATGTCAATGGTCTCATTTTACCAGTGTCTGCTCACTTCCAAAAATGCAAAGACAGAGGAAGAAAAGTTCGTTCTGTCTTCACTTGCCTTATGTACAGGCAGAAAGCCCATCACGCTACCTAAAATTTTCAGCAATACTATGATTCCATTAAGAGCTCTGGATACAGGTGCTTTTAAAGTAGGTTAAGGAATTATGTTGCCTGATAGGGATACTTAACATACCAGCACCTGTTGGTGTGCTTGATCAATTACCCCAGGCAAAATTCTACTCGTCCTTAAAGACCTAGTTTAAACGCCATCTCCTTCAACAGAAACTCTATGATGTTCCCACCCAGATATGACCTATGACCTCTTTCTCACTTTTTTTTTTTTTTTTTTTTTGAGACAAAGTCTCATTGTGTCTCCAGGCTGGAGTGCAGTGGCACGATCTCGGCTCACTGCAACCTCCACCTCCTGGGTTCAAGCGATTCTCCCACCTCACGCCTCCCGAGGAGCTGGGACTAGGGGCATGCACCACCACACCTGGCTAATTTTTGTATTTTTAGTAGAGACGGGGTTTCACCACGTCAGCCAGGATGGTCTCAATCTCTTGACCTAGTGATCCACCACCTGCCTTAGCCTCCCAAAGCGCTGGGATTACAGGCATGAGCCACCATGCCTGACCTCTTCCTCACTTTTTATTTATTTATTTATTTTTGAGACGGAGTCTTGCTCTATTGCCAGGCTGGAGTGCAGTGGCGCAATCTCAGCTCACTGCAACCTCCGCCTCCCGGGTTCAAGCGATTCTTCCGCCTCAGCCTCCCGAGTAGCTGGGACCACAGGCACGTGCCACCATGCCCAGCTATTTTTTGTATTTTTAGTAGAGACGGGGTTTCACCATGTTGGCCAGGATGGTCTCGATCTCTTGACCTCGTGATCTGCTCGCCTCGGCCTCCCAAAGTGCTGCGATTACGGTCTTCCTCACTTTTTAATGGTTATCTGCTTGAACTCCCAAACAATGCCTGATACAGAGCAATGGAACCAGGAAAGATATGTTCCAATGGCAGACAGAAGTGATAAGGTATGATCTGATCCCTCTGGGAGGCACTAGTGAGCTAGAGATCTACAAGGGGACCCCAAAACCTCAGCAAGTAATAGCAATGTGAAGCTACGGATGGGAGAGAAAAAAAAAAAACAACCTCACAGCAGAGACACAGAGCTGACCTTACAGCAGTTCTGTAAGGAGTCAGCCCTTTGCCTGGGCTCTAACACTGTTACTCTAGCAGGGGGGTGGGGAGAAGAAGAACCTACTGTATATTCATATTTGGGGTATATTTTTAGTCTTGTGTTGACATGTGAGCTGCCAGCACAAAATACACCAAACACCTTCCTAACTCCCTCAAACCAAATAAATAAATGAAAAGAGAGGCTGTTGAAAACCTTGACAAGCAGCTTGTCAAGAAAAGCTGTTTTTCACACAAGAAACCTCCTTTCAGAACCCTAAATCCTACCAACTTCCATTCTATTTGCAGTACCCTTATCTGTTAGTATCACAACGGAAAAGTGTAAATTGGACCCAAAAAATCCTCTTTATATTTAAAGCCAAAAACTGATCAAGGAGTTCCGTCTACATTTCAAAACACTGTATTCATATTTCAGAGATATATTTATAGACTTTATAAAGAGGTGCAATATTGACTTCTGAGGTTAATGCAACATCCATAGATTTATCTTATGCATTATGTTCTTCAATCTATGTTACTGGGAATAAATTTTTCATCATCAGTTAAGCTTATAATCAATGCAGAATTTGGAATGAAGTATTTATCAGAACAATTTGTGGCTAGAATGATTTTAAGTCACTACACATGTTATGTAATCTTTTTCCCTGTTATAAATCCAACACGATTTCTTAGGACGAGCAGAGAGACACCCAGAGAGCAAAATAAAATCTAGAAAAGTGGCAAAATGATATCCCACTGACCAGCATGAGAAAGAGGGAAAAAGGAAACCAAAATAACGCACTTAAAAATTTTTTTTAGAAATCTATTGGAAAAGAAACCTCAGAACGACTTTAGAAAAGGCGTCAACAGCTTCAGAGATATAAGACTGCTGAGGCTGAATCAAATAGTACTATGGCTTGATTTCATAAGGACGAGATTGACCCTACCCAGAACAGCCAGAAAGAGAAATGGGGAGTGTGGCTTTATCAGGCACATAGGTCCTGCAAGCCTGCCTGGCAGGCCCCTACCTACTGCTTAGAGTTTAAATACCCTCAAATCACCCTGCAAAATACAAACAGGTCAACTGCAGGAGGCACAGCAACAAACCTTCACGTGAGCTTGGATTGGACTAACTCCTCATTAGCAAAGAGCTGCCTCACTCAGGGTAGGTTCAGGTGTGGGAAAGAGAGCCTGATGCCCGAGCAGGTGAGTGCTCCCAGGTGGATCCTGGGCTAAGTGGAAAAGGGGAGGTCCTCTGAACAAAATACAAAGAAGGGAAGAGAAGGACCTAAGATAGCATTTGCCCCTTTCACATTTTGTCAGAAGAGAACTCTCTGAATATAATAGAAAGAGTCTTAATTTCAGACTACATGCAACATAGACCTTTTTTTATTGTTGTTTTGCCCTGAATATAAAGAGTATATATTTAATTGTTGTTGTTACCCTGAATATCTCAAAGATTTTTCTATGAATTCTCAGTATGTTTCAGGTGAATTCTCTAGCTCCCCACCTCCTCTTAGCACTTGCTGGCACATTTCCAAGCTCCTCTGGCATCTCCCAATTCCTCAGGAAGATACCTATTAGCCCCTTCATCTTCCTTTTCCATCTTGGATAAGACAGTTCCATCTTGACAATTATTAACTATAAGCCATCAAATATATTCCTCTAAAAAGACATATTTAGGGAAGCACTGACAAAGACATTAACAGATAAGCTGCTTCATGCTGATTTCCATTAAAATATTTAAATATGTTTTCAGGAAAGAAAACTTTTAAGTTATTTTTCCAAAACAGCTCTAACACTAATTTTGAACCTGACAAAAATAACCCAAAAAGAAAAGTCAGATCACTCTAACTTATAAATAATGATGTAAAAATATGAACTCAAACATTACCAGACAGCATCTACCAGTGCAGTAATAGAATAAGATATCACAACCAAATAGGGCTTATTGTGGATACTAGGATCATTCAAGAACAGAACTTTTACCTCTGTAATTCATAATATCAATACATTGTAGCAGAAAGATCCTATACTCATCTTCACGGTGCTAAAAAAGCATGTGACAAAATCAAAATCCATTCTGATTTGAGAGGCCCTTAATAAAATAGAAATCTATGAATATTTTTGATATGGGAAAGAGAGATATAGATATAAATGTATCTGCTCAAAAGCCCAAATCATACTAAGTGATTCCTAAGACGCATCCCTATTAAGACAAGAATGGTCACTGCAAGTACCCTATAATTTTACACTTTCCAATTAGTACTAGTGCAATGAGGAGAAAGTCATGAATAATAAAAATTAGAAATAGACAAATTTATTATTTTTGCAGATCATACATGTACATACCTAGAACATCAAAGAGGATCAACTGAAAATAAATGGATACATTAAGAGAAAAGGTAGATGTTTATAAAGCCAGTACACAGAAATAGCTTAGATAAACAAAAGCCAATTAAATATACAGAAGAAAGGTACCATTTTTAAGAGCAAAAAAGGGCATACATTAAAAAAAAAAAACAAATTTAGAAAAGTATAGATTTCACAAGAAAAATACTTTCAATCCTACAGAGAGACGTATAAGTTGGCAAATTAATGGAAAGACACATTTTGTATTTGATAGAAAGACTCATTGCAAAGATGTTATTCTCCCCTAAATTTAACGTGAATCCAATAAAAATGCCAAAAAGAGTATTTTGAAAATCAGAACATTAATTCTAAATTGCACATAAAAATTAACCTGTGAGAATTGCCAGGAAAATTCTGAAATGAAAGGTTATTAACTCTACTGGCTATTAAAACATACTATAAAGCTAAGGAATTAGAACAGTTTGTTATTAGCAAACCAATAGTATTCCAAGGCAAAAAAAAAAAAAAAAGAAAAACAGTTCAGAAATAGGCATGATACACATAGAAATATTTGTTACGTAATAAAGTTGACATTTCAAATATAGGAAAATGGTGGGTTGTCTAATAAATATGTTGGT